CAGCCTTCTGCTGCCTATGCTAGCACCTCTGGCTTCTGGCCTGAGCCACTGCAGGCATGTGGCTGCATTTCCGAAATCAAATGTGAATATCTGTTCACTTGCTTAGCATCAGTTCAATCTATACAGTTTAGACTAACCTGCAAAGATTGAATTATTCAGCCTTGGGCTTTCTCACTGTCTGTACTTAGTCAAACTGAGCAGAGCTGTACCTGAGTGGACTTTCTGCTCTCCCTTGTAACAGAAAACTAAATATTTAAACTCTTATTTCACTGATCTTAACCTAGTTTCGCTGTTTCAGTGCCGTTTCCTGAATCTACAATATAAAACCTAATCCACACTAATTGGTGATACTGTATTTACTCAAATATAAGATGACCCCCTGCAATAGTTAGATTCTACATATGGAAAATTTATAAAATGTTATAATTTTTCAGGTATAGAATGTAATTATTGGAAATCTGCCTTGAATTTTTCCCCTTCCCTTTGTTACTGCAAGAAAAATAAGTCTGGGTTCAGATAGCTCCTTTGCTCTCTGTGCCTCCAACTTCTTTCTACTGCAGCCCTTCCTTACTTTACTGTCAGATCCTAATCTCTCTGAGCACATGGAAGTGAGAAGCATTTGAAAAGGCTTACCTAGATAAAAATACCTGTAGTAACTTGTATATAAAGAAATTACTATAGGTACCCACAGGCTTAGTTCACTCAGCATAGATGCAGTTTACCTCTTCTGAAATTGCTACAGGTTTGAGCTCAGATACTCCAAAAACATGCTTTTAAGCACCTACTTGCATATATTACACCCTATGCATGGCATTAGCCCAAAGATAAAAGGCTCATAAGTTACCATGTAGTTCACTGGATAGGGCTCCAGCAAAGACAACAAAGTTTCAAGTCATGGTGAGCCCATAGCCCAGCACTGCTCAGTACATGTGTACACTCCAGATATCCCCCACAAAGGATCCACATGCTAATTATCCTGCACACACGACTGGAACAGGGTCTTGGTCAGAAGTCCTGAGATCTTTCAAAAGTTATATGCAGATAAGGCACACGGCAACCTGGCCCAGTTCCATGTGATGGAGGGCAGGGCCACATTAATCATACGCAACAGGCTGAGGAGAGACGAAGCAACAGGGGGATTTTAGCTAAGCTGTTTGGAGCCTCAGTGATATTTGTCAGACATTTAAGGCTGGTTGAAAACAGGACTCTTTGGAAATTGGAAAGAAAGAAGCAGCTCAACTGTGGGAGTGAAGAAATCTAAAAGTTTTTGACGCAGTGGCTCAGCAAGTCAGCACTGAGGGGGATTCAGCGTAGTGGGAATTACTGTGTATCTTATTCAGATGGGTTACAGTCACCATCAGTATGTTTGCTCCACATCGGCCTTGCGTTTTACAGTTACGCTTGGTGTTGGCTGCAAGTAATCAACTTGCCAGGTGGCTTCCATTGCTGAACACATGTTGCTTTTATCAGCAGTTTAATGATGGACAGTGTATTTAGTGAGGTTTCCTTGTATGTCAATATAAGACAAGAGGTTCCTTCCACCCATACTGTTTGGAGGGGGAAGAAACCTTGTTGTATATTTCAGTAAATATGGTAATTGGCAAGCTTCTCTTTTACTCCTAACAAAGGTCTGGATTTCAAGCCTAGAGATGGCATCTAGGTCGAGACTGAGCCAGGTCAGAAGTATTCTGTTTGGTAGATATCTAGACACCTGTACTTTGAAAACTGTTGAACACAAAATACATTCACTTCTGACTATTTGACTGTATTATCTGGGGTCTCCCTGCTACTGTCACTCCAGAGGTTCCTCTTCATGTTACTAGTTTACTAACATATACTTCAAACAATTCTCAGGGAATACCCCTTTTATTTCACAGACAGACAGACAGACAGACAGACAGACAGACAGACAGACAGACAGACAGACAGACAGACAGACAGACAGACAGAGGATGTTCATGCAGAAAAAGCAGAACTTCCACATACCAAATAAAACCTACAATGCATCTTAGGTGCATGAAGAATGCACCTCATTTAAAATCTTGTCTAAGCCTATCCCAACCATGCAGTTGGCTCAATAAAAGATATTACAAAAATCCTTGCCTCTTGCTATGTCCTGGACCATCAGGGCTTACAACATCATTCCAATGCTACCAATGTAACTTTAGGCCAGCAGCAGCACCACCAGCAGCCAGCTGCTGCGGCCACAACCACTTCTTTACAGATTTTGCTGAAACTGACAATTAAATTATATAAAATACAATGAAATACATAATCTATAGTTATTGGTAAAAGCATACAATAAGATTATCCATTCTACAGGTTTAAACAAAATTAAAACAAAACATAATACACTGATAATACAAAACTCAGCACAGAATATAAAACAGTAGAGTAAAAAACCATAAAATAAAAACAAGGGAATTTTATTTAATTTTGGCTCTTCAACTTTGTGCAAGTAACACAAATATACCTGGGGAGTTTCAGATAGGCTGTAAGGGTGCCTGTATACACGTGGGACAAGATTAATGCCTTGAAAAATGTCACCAGAAATATTTTTCAGGAGGGGTGGGGAAGAGGGAAGGGAGAAATCATGAAAGAGCAATTAAAAAATTGCTTTCACCATCACCTTCCCTTCTTCCTGCCATTCACTTTTGAAAAGTTATATTATCAACTATAATTGCCACACTGTTGGAATACTTTTGGGGTGCTCCCAATGCCATTCTTTATAGTACGTTATAAAAGCACTATTAATTATCAAGTACACACTGGAATTATAAAAGCCTCATCTTACACATTTATAAGAATCTTTAAAAATGGCATCTTAAAATTCCACAGTAAAACTGCAAGGTTTCCAAAGCTTCAGGAAACACAAAATCCCCGGTGTCAGAGTAACAGACAATTAAATGTGTCAAAAATGTCATGCTTCTCTGACACATCTACAACTGTCCTCTACCTGGATACAGTCCTTTCCTGTCCTGATAAGGCATTTTCAATGTTTTTACTGGGGACTTTACTTTTACAGTAAAGTCTAGTGGAGTGTACTGGACTGAGATTTATAAAGGTTCTAATT